GAAAATGGGGACAGGACCTAGAAGGAAACCAACTCAGAGGGGACTTGGAGCCTTAAGAGCTGACCCATGGTGGCCACCAGAAATATTACCACACTGTTTGCATGCTGGTTTTCAAAGCTGAAGTCAAGTTCTTCTGCTCCTGGCTGTGCAAGGCTACGTCTAACCTCACAGCAGCCTGAAACCCATCCCAGCTTCACCTGATGCTTGCCAAGCATCGAAGCTCTCGTTATAAATTCTGATTTTCCCAAGTTTCTCTTTCAAAGGCTTTCAAAGGAGGCCAAAACCACACAGGGATTTTTCTTGAAAGCTGCTGCTGAGAAGCTGCTGGGTTAACTCATTAAGGAGGAAAAAAACCTGAGTTAATTATACGTTGGTTATGGCAATATACACTTTCATTCTCTGGGAATACGCCTGCTCTTGTATTCACAATCCTTCAGCCACTGTCAGAAATGAGGTTGGTAAATTCAAGAGCAGACAGCCACGATCTTCCAAAAAAATTCCTGCATGCAAATGCCTGGCAATTGCACCGGGAACACCAGGACACTGACCACAGGCACCCTTGAGGGGGTTTCAAGGCTGCAGCTCTTGATTGCACCCATCCAGGAGAGTTTGTTAACATTTCAGACACCATTTGCAAGAGGGGTGGAGACTCATCGTGGTGAAGGAAAAAAAGGTTTTTACACACCAAGAGGACAAATGCAGTATGTTAACGTGGGCAAAACAAAACATAGGGGAAATCAGCCAGGATCCGTGCTCTCCAGCATCATCCAAGATGAAACCAATCCCAACCTTGTGCTTGAGAAGTCACAGAGTCATCGATGTCATGGTGCTCCCCATCACCGACAGTTCATGCTCTTGGTCCAACAGCAAAAGGTGACCGATTCAACATCAATGCCACATGCATCTGAGCTTCAGGCAATTTACTCTTTAATTTAATTCCAGATGCTCAAAGGATCCCTTTTAGGGGCTTGCATGTTACCACGAGTTGTAGGGCACCATCCTCACAGCTCCTTTGAGCTCAAACCACCTGAGTCCTTCTTTGGCACAGAGACCACCACGTACCAACCCAGATGCAGCTCCCTCCTCTGCTTGGATCCCATCCTGCAGGCTCAAGCTGAGACCTTTCCCTTCTGCAGCCTCTTGCTTTAGAGAGCTTCTTGGCCAAAAAAAGGAGACAGAAGAAACACAAGTTTTTCCCCCAATTAAAAAACCTTTTCAATAATCAAAGTAGCCCAAAGATAGTGGTGTTGGACATGGCGTTCGCATGCACAACTCTGGGGTGAACCCAGATGGGGAACTTCAATGTGAGGGGGGCAAAGTCCCACTAATGCCATCTCCTCCCTGGCTGCTGCCATCATCCCCCCCCCTCATCCAGCCAAGGTGTTACCTGCTGATGACGTTCTCCTGCAGAGGTTTCTCCTTGATCTCTGGTGGTTTCTTCTTCTTGCCTTTTACTGCAGGGGGCTGCATGTCAGGTCAGAGCAGTGTGAGAGAGAAGGAAGTTCATGGAGTGGGTTCGATGCCCACAAAACACTGGGGACCGTCACAAGGGTGACCCCCAATGCCTGGGCATGGAAAGTGCTGGCTGGTACCTGCACCATGCATGGTGTTTCCTCTGGCTGCTTCTTCACAGCCTTTCCCCTGGGTGCCTTCGACGCCTCTTGCCCCTTTCCCGACTCACTCTTTCGCTTCCTGGGGACAAGGGCAATTTTGTCCCACCATGGCCAAACAGACAACACCTGCAGCAAACCCCTTGGTGGTGCAAATAACCC